CACACACAGCCACCAGCAAGTGCCACCAACGTGATGCCCCCAGCTCAGCCCCCATCCTGTGCCTGGGCGCCATCCTGCCACCCCCTCCCACACAGCGCCGGGGGGAAGGTCATGCACCCGGGGGCTGGGGTACCTGCTCCTCAAGAGGTGGTAAAAAAAGAGGGGAAAGCGTGTCCCCCCCTGTCCAGCGGCTGCCAAGCTCCTGCGCCGGTGTTTGCTCTCCTCGCAGAAGCAGGAGCTGAATGGGCCCCGTTGTGTTGCTTTCCCAGCAGCGCTCACCGGACGGAGCCAGAAACAGGGGAGGAGGAGAAGGGGGGGGAAGGAAGGGTAGAGCACCCCTGGAGAGAGGGCAGTGACCCAGACATCGCCTCCCCCTCGCCTCGCAGGGGGCCGGGAGCACCGGCGCTGGGGAGCCAAAGCCTGGCATGTCGCAGCGCCAGCCCGGCCAGAGCCCGTGTGGGATTTGCACTCACTGTTTCCCAGGCTCTGCCTTTCCTTCCCTGGCTGGGTAAGTCAGCCACAGGAGCTATGGAGGTGCAGGGCAGAGAGGTGACATACAGCCAAAATTGTAACGGTGGCAGTAAGCCTAAGCAAAAGGAAAGAGGCAGCTGGCAAGCCAGGCTGTGGGGCTGTACTGCATTTACAGCCCCCAATTCTCCTAATTTTGCTTTTCTGCTCGTTTCAAAGAGGTCAGGGGCGGCAGTGCCTGTGTGAAACATCATTTGCTTGCAGAAAGCCATGGACGGCTTCGTTTTTTTCCTCCCCGACTCCGTCATTTCCTTTTTTTTCAGCTCTGTGTTTTGCTCTCCTAGGGAACACTAGCAGATCTGTAGCCTGAGAAAAATCTGGAAGATTTGATACAAATGTGTCTCTCTCTCTCTCTCTCTCTCTCTCTCTCTCTCTCTCTCTCTCTCTCTCTCTCTCTCTCTCTCTCTCTCTCTCTCTCTCTCTCTCTCTCTCTCTCTCTCTCTCTCTCTCTCTCTCTCTCTCTCTCTCTCTCTCTCTCTCTCTCTCTCTCTCTCTCTCTCTCTCTCTCTCTCTCTCTCTCTCTCTCTCTCTCTCTCTCTCTCTCTCTCTCTCTCTCTCTCTCTCTCTCTCTCTCTCTCTCTCTCTCTCTCTCTCTCTCTCTCTCTCTCTCTCTCTCTCTCTCTCTCTCTCTCTCTCTCTCTCTCTCTCTCTCTCTCTCTCTCTCTCTCTCTCTCTCTCTCTCTCTCTCTCTCTCTCTCTCTCTCTCTCTCTCTCTCTCTCTCTCTCTCTCTCTCTCTCTCTCTCTCTCTCTCTCTCTCTCTCTCTCTCTCTCTCTCTCTCTCTCTCTCTCTCTCTCTCCCTCTCCCCTTCAAGCCCTTCCCTGTGCAGCAAGCTCAGCTGCCAGAACCAGTATGTCCCATCCCGGTGCCACCTGTGAGCAAGGGACATGCTGGCCAGGGTTCGCAAGCCTCCCCCCAGCCAGATGGACAACGCCTCTCCGGCCAAC